CCCCCCCCCCACCCCCACCACATGCCTTGCCACCACACTGGACCCTTCAGCAGCCAAGGCAGGGACAGTCTCCTCTGGTTTCCCTCAGATAAATGAGGAAACTGAGGCCCAGAGACGTTCAGGGTAACTTTCCCAAGGCCACACAGCCACAAGCAGCACAGCAAGGACTTACGACCCCTGCCTGGCCTCCCAGCTCTCTCCCCTCAGCCTTGCACCAGCCCAGGTCGACACTCCAGCTGGCCCCGACACACTGAGGCTTGAGGGGAGGGGAGGTGCCCACATGTCCTCCAGACCTTAGCCTGTCCCTTCTTTTTGACCGAGACCAGTGCATGCCCAGCCATGGAGAAGGGCCCGGGGAACATCAGTTCTGTGTGAACACAGCTGTCACTGTGACTCCAGAGAGAGTGGCACGGGCTGTACCTGACTCACAGCCATCCCTGGCCTAGGTTTGCTCCACCCATAGCGACAGCCTGACATGGACTTGTCCTCAAGGTTGAGATGCCTTTGTAGGGGCACAAGACACCTCCTCCAGGAAGCCTCCCAGCTTGCCTTCTGTTATGAGCTGATTGTGTGACTAGAGCTAACTTCCACCAGAGCCTGACCTCTCTGCCACTTCCTTTCCCACAGCTGGGCTGGGGTCCAGAAAGCACCCCCAGGGAGCAACCAAGGATCAACCCACCCTCTGGACCCTGGAGAGGGCCTTTCCACCTTTTCCCTACCCCTGACTCTTGAAGATCTCCTTAGACAGGATGAGCAGACCTCAGGAGTGTACCATGGAGAGCCAGGGAGGGCCATGGAGGGCCAGAGAGAGCTACGGAGGGCCATGAAGAGGCAGGTAGGGCCAGAGAAGGCCATGGAGGGTTGGAGAGGGCCAGGGGGGTTACAGAGGGCCACGGAGGGCCAGGAAGGACCATGGAGAGTCAGGGAGGGCCAGGGAGGGCCAGGGATGGTCAGGGAGGGCCAGGGAGGGTTGGAGAGGGCCAGAGTGGGGATAGCAGAGAGCCATGGAGGGCCATGGGGGGCCAGGAAAGGTCAGGGAGGGTCATGGTGGGTCAC